TACACTCTGGGGGATTGCAATAATCACTTTACTCCCCTGAGTATCATCACTAGCTCTTCTAAGAGCTGTTCCTGCTACACTCTCTGGACTAAGAGAGGTCTACCCACTAGAAGCTGGATCCTGGTTGTAGGTCCAGGGTGGGTAAGAGACGTCGAGGCCCCAACCAAGCTGCGGCGGTTTGTGGGGTTTGCAGTGGTTATGGTGTTCCAGCGCAGTGCTTATGGTACTCGTCAGTACTAGGAATCAGCAATTGACAGAGGAACCCGGTCAGGGTGCCAGGCTGTCCGTTACAACCACCAATGGTATTTTCTCGATACAGAAAAGCTGGGGTCATCTTATCCTTGATCATGGATCTGTAAAAGGCTCAAAAAGCTAAATATTACAGTAAAATTAATCATGAAACAAAACACTTATTGTCATAACATACACGATGAAGTACACATAGAAATATAGAAACAAAGAATGTGACAGCAGATAAGAACCATTTGGCCCATCTAGTCTGCCCAATTTTCTAAATACTTTCATTAGTCCTAGCCTTATCTTATAGTTAGGATAGCCTTATGCCTATCCCACGCATGCTTAAACTCCTTTACTGTGTTAACCTCTACCACTTCAGCTGGAAGGCTATTCCATGCATCCACTAACCTCTCAGTAAAGTAATACTTCCTGATATTATTTTTAAACCTTTGTCCCTCTAATTTAAGACTATGTCCTCTTGTTGTGGTAGTTTTTCTTCTTTTAAATATAGTCTCCTCCTTTACTGTGTTGATTCCCTTTATATATTTAAATGTTTCTATCATATCCCCCCTGTCTCGTCTTTCCTCCAAGCTATACATGTTAAGATCCTTTAACCTTTCCTGGTAAGTTTTATCCCGCAATCCATGAACCAGTTTAGTAGCCCTTCTCTGAACCCTCTCTAAGGTATCAATATCCTTCTGAAGATACGGTCTCCAGTACTGTGTACAATACTCCAAGTGAGGTCTCACCAGTGTTCTGTACAATGGCATGAGCACTTCCCTCTTTCTACTGCTAATACCTCTCCCTATACAACCAAGCATTCTGCTAGCATTTCCTGCTGCTCTATTACATTGTCTGCCTACCTTTAAGTCATCAGAAATAATCACCCCTAAATCAATTTCCTCATATGTTGAGGTTAGGACTCTATAAAATATTCTGTACTCTGCCCTTGGGTTTTTACGTCCAAGATGCATTATCTTGCACTTATCTACATTAAATGTCAGTTGCCACAATTCTGACCATTTTTCTAGTTTACCTAAATCATTTGCCATTTGGCTTATCCCTCCTGGAAGATCAACCCTCTTACATATCTTAGTATCATCAGCAAAAAGACATACCTTACCATCAAGACCTTCTGCAATATCACTAATAAAAATATTAAAGAGAATGGGTCCAAGTACAGATCCCTGAGTTACCCCACTGGTCCAAGCTTCGAATATATTCCATTAACTACAACCCTCTGTTGCCTGTCACTCAGCCACTGCCTTACCCATTTAACAATATTGGAATCCAAACTTAAAGATTGCAGTTTATTGATAAACCTTCTATGTGCAACAGTGTCAAAAGCCTTACTGAAATCTAGGTAAGCAATGTCTACTGCACCACCCTGATCTATAATTTTAGTTACCCAATCAAAAAAATCAAAAAGATTAGTTTGGCATGATCTCTCTGAAGTAAACCCATGTTGCCTCTGATCTTGAAATCCATGTGTTTTTAGATGTTCATCAATCCTATCCTTTAACCCCTTAAGGACCAAACTTCTGGAATAAAAGGGAATCATGACATGTCACACATGTCATGTGTCCTTAAGGGGTTAACATGGTTTCCATCACTTTCCCCACTACTGAAGTAAGGCTTACTGGCCTATAGTTGCCCGACTCCTCCCTATTACCTTTCTTGTAAATGGGCACAACATTCGCTAACTTCCAATCTTCTGGGACTACTCCTGTTAACAATGATTGGTTAAATAAATCTGTTAATGGTTTTGCTAGTACACCACTAAGCTCTTTTAATAGCTTTGGGTGTATTCCATCAGGTCCCATTGACTTATTTGTCTTTACTTTTGACAGTTGAAATAGAACCTCTTCCTCAGTAAACTCACGTGTAATAAATGACTCGTTTATCCTTTTTCTCAACTGAGGTCCCTTTCCTTCATTTTCATCTGTAAATACAGAACAAAAATATTCATTGAGGCAGTCAGCTAGACCTTTATCCTCTTCTACATACCTTCCTTCTTTTGTTTTTAATCTAACTAATCCTTGTTTTACTTTTCTTTTCTCATTTATGTATCTAAAAAATGTTTTATCCCCCTTTTTTTACTGACTGTGCTATTTTCTCTTCTGTGTGTGATTTGGAAGCTCTTATAACTTGCTTAACCTCTTTCTGCCTTCTCTTATAGATCATTTTGTCTTCCTCACTCTGGGATTTTTTATAATTCCTAAATGCTAACTTTTTGTTTTTAACTATTTTGGCCACATCTGCGGAGTACCACAGTGGTTTCTTGAATTTTTTGCTTTTACTGACAAGCCTAATGCAATTTTCTGTTGCCTTCAATAGTGCAACTTTTAAATAATCCCATTTCTCTTGGACTCCATTTAAATTGCTCCAGTCTGATAATGACTCCTCTACCCATATTCTAATTTTAGAAAAGTCTGTTTTTCTAAGATCTAAAACTTTTGTTTTTGTGTGGTGTGACTCAGTCTCTGTTCTTATATTAAACCACACTGACTGATGATCACTGGATCCTAAACTTTCACCTACAGTAATATCTGATACCAAATTTCCATTTGTTAACACTAAATCTAGTATGGCCTCTTTACGAGTTGGCTCCTCAACAACTTGTTTTAGAGACAATCCCAGCAGGGAGTTTAGAATATGTGTGCTCCTGGCACAAGTAGCTAATTTTGTTTTCCAATTTACATCAGGAAGATTAAAGTCACCCATGATGATAACTTCCCCCTTCATTGTCATGTTAGCTATTTCCTCAACTAGTAGATTATCTAGGGGGCCTATAAATCACACCTACATGAGTTACTGTCCTGGGGGCCTATACTGTCCTGGGGACCTATAAATCACACCTACACGAGTTACTGTGTGATTACCAAATTCTAACATAACCCAAACGGACTCTATGTTTGCCTCACTAACTTTTATTAGGATAGATTTTATGCTATCCTTCACATACAAGGCCACCCCTCCCCAACTACACTCACATATTAAACACTCACTTCAAAGCTCACAAATCGTAATAGGTTTTTTTTTAAAACACGTTACGTAGGCAAAAATAATGGAGGATTTAGTTACAGTATATGATCATACAATGCTCCCCATTTTTGACAGGCCCTACTCTAGCAGCCCAATGCCTGCTCTTATGAAATGAATCCACTTACTTACTTGTGCCTTTAAAAAACTATTAAAATCAGTGAGCGTTGAAGTTGGTGTTTAGTTAGTGAGTGAGTGCACTGGATTCTGTATGTTGTATATCTATTTCGCAGCAGCTCCCTTTTAATGTTTGTGTATGTGTATATATATATACATATATATACACATATATATATATATACACACACACACACACACACACACACATATACATAATGGTGGGGATTGTGAAATAGATTTAAACATGATATGGAAAGTAGTTTATATGGAAAGTAGCTTAGGTTTTTGTACTGCTTGGAGACATAAGTGCAAATGTAGGATATAAGCTTTGGATCTCTACCTGTCTTAGGGGTAATTGACATAATACTTGTTTATTATCTGTATATGAATTACCAGCTACTTTCTACTCCTTAATTTAGACATTTAGATTAGCACATTGTCTGTAGATAACTTCTATTGAAGATGATGGGACATTTGACACATGATTCACATCAGATTCTAATGACATTACATTCACATCAAATTCATATCAGACATTGAAATATAATCTAATAAAAGTGAGACACAACTAAGTCATTACTAAGAATGTAATTTTGAACATGAGACTTAATGAAAATATTTATTAAAATGGGATTGTTGCATCCATAATTAATTAAAATGAAATAAAACCCAATTTAGAATTCCGTGTATATGGGATACAAGGAACACTGTTTAGCTTTCATATGCTGCACATCATTAATCAGGCATTTATATCATGAATCAGACATTTATTAAAAAGCATGAATAGGAAATACCATTGCTAGCCAAGCCAAATGAAAATATATAAAGTAAAAGGAGGGACATTGAAGATCAAGATTCAGAATACGAGTTAGATTAGAAGCAAGGGAAGCTATGGAAATAAATTTAAAAAAAAATAAAGTATTGGAAGGAAGGAATAGAAAACATTTTCTATTTATTTACAGTCATTAACCCCTTAAGTACGGCGGGCGTACTATGCAGTCCTTATGGACTCAGTCCTAAATGCCGGCGGGCGATCGTGATGAAGGGACTTACCTGGCATCCCTGGCAGTCCCCCGGGCCCTGTGATCGCAATGACGTACCAGTCACATGGACGGAATCGCCGTCCACAGCAGTGCCTGCAGGGGGCCTACCTGAAATGACAGTCAGTCCCCTGATGCCTGTAAGAAAGTTTTAAAAAACTTTCAAACACTTCGTAATTAAAAATATATATACTTAGATCATATATATATATATATATTATATATATGATCTAAGTATTTATATCTATATATATATACATACATGAACTATGTTTCTAAGTGTATTTTAATATTTATATATTATATAGAATGTTATATAATTTTACAATTGTATACCTATAATAAACAATAAATAAATATGTAAAAAAAATTAAAATAAAAAAAACACATAAAAATTATATATGGAGGGCTGGGCCTGAAGTTGTGGGAGGGGCTTTGTTTCCCTTCTTAAAGAGCACCAGCCCCCTCCTCACTACCGTCTCAGGTCTGGTGATTGGCATTCCATCATTTCTGGTCCGTGCAAATCACCATTTACTTACCTGCACCTCGTGGAACGCTTACCTGGTCCCTGCAATCTCTGATCTTCTATCTCGCGGCCTCCTGAAATCCCGACAGGACGACCGTACCACGGTGGTGGCTTCTAGAGGCTGTGTCCGGTAAAAAACATAAGTCAGGCCGCCTGTCGCGCTGCGGCCACGGGCACTTACGTCATCCTGGGTTGGCTCTGACTCAGGCAGGCATCCCTGTTCGTTTCTGTTTACGGCCATACGAATGCTTTCGTTCACATGGTTGTTATCAGCTATTTCTAGCTGGTCGGGCGTCTGGGAACAAACGCACAAACAAGCAATGTACCGTACAGTTCAATATTCTTCATTCGTATGGTTCAGGAGTAAGGAGCGTTTCGGTTATATACAAAACTTAGCCACCACATGGCCGTTCATATAGTTTTAACCAAACGCTCTATGTTTACATAGACTTTAGCAGGCTTAGGGGGTTTCTATGGTTTACATGGCGGCCTCCGGTGGTCATTTTGGTTATGACAAGTAGTTATGAAAAATTGTCTGCTAATAGGTTAAGCAATAGGGGTTAGCCAACGAGTCCCAAAAATCTAAGGACTACAAATCCTAGTGCATAGTGTTACCAAAGTGTAATGAAAAATAAAAAAAACAGACAAATAGCTTAACACGCATTTCGGCGTGTCAGCACTGCTCCAGACGACGGCGTGCTGACACGTCGAAACGCGCGTCAAGCTATTTGTCTTTTTTTTTATTTTTCATTACACTTTGGTAGCATTATGCACTAGGATTTGTAGTTAGTTAATTAATTTTGTAAGTTTTTTTAGTGAAGGAAGGGACAGAGGTTTTGGTAGGCATTAGTGGTTGCTCCACGGTGCCGAGTATTACAGGGATAGCCTTTACCTTTGAGTTCGGCTGTGGGGAATGAGGGGGGTCCTTTCTGTGTCTCTCTCCCCCCCTCCCTTGACTTTTTACCTCTGTAGATGCCAGTCCACTGTTTAGGCAGGTGGACATCATTATTTTTTCAGCTTGTTTAGCTGAACTTTACACAGCTTTTTTGCTGTTTGTATATATACATGTCCTTGTGTATGATTTGAAAAGACACCATACACATTTTTCTGCCATTACTTCCTCTATTGGTTATTCCTTCTATTTTTTGTTTCCCTTTAGGTTCAATAAAGGTAGGGCTCCCTTTTTATACATGTTATTTTCCATCTGGACCAATAGTCTGTATTGTCTGCTAATAGGTTGTTGCAGTACGTTAACAATATTACGGGTTAGGTAATCTTGCAATTACGTTTCATAGACCCGGTTCATATAGTGATTATCTGGAGTGTCTTATGTATTCAAGCTAATTTTCACAAGGGTGTTTTGTCATTTGGTTCATAAGTTTGATTATAGACATCTTATGTTTCAGTTCAACACCATTCAACAATTGAGCTTCAGCTCTTCTACCACTTCTGGTCTCATAAGGCCTGATCCTTATGTGTAAATTTTCTACGTTACTAGGTACTAGCCATCCTAGCCGCATTATCGGGTTTTTTAGTGCCGGTCCACTTTCTTCAAGTAGGTATCTTTTTAGAATAGGTTTGTTAAGGATACATCATGATATGGTTCTGCAACTCACGATTACTCTCATAAGTTATTACAGAGGGCCAGTTCACCAGATCCTGCTTCTTTTCAGTAACCTCAGCAGGTATGTCTTTCCCTTTTTGGGGCATCTTCCCCCCCCCTACCCAATTGGGGTTCTTAGAATAGGTGCATACTGGCTTAAAAGGATAGGAAGCAATGTCTAACAATGTCCAGGCCTTCTATGCATTAACTCAGTGGTCCCACGAGGCCATCACCCACCCTCAAACCTGAAGGTACAGTAGCCCCTCGGACCAACACATAGTTAGTTGCTTCGCTTGGTTGCATAGAGCGGGCCTCAGTTGTCACTTCCATTCTGTATTATGCTTTTACAAGTCACAGAGTGGCCATCATCCCGCCACAATGTCAGTGGCCACGTACCCCACTGGAGCCAAATCATTAATGGCGCCTCTGAAGCCGCTTGGCAATTAGCAGGGATTCACCTGTCACGTGTACTGATAATATTTTCGCCATTTGGCATTAGCTAGCCAGCCAGTAGCATGTCACAACTGCCTGAAGGCGGGGAGAAACTATCCATCCCCAGTACACCAGCAAGATCGGTAACTCCATCTTGGGTTGGCGACACCGCAAGCCCTTCATCCCTCAGATCCTGGACCATTCCAAGGATGACGGCTGAATTACGCAAGAGAAACATCCCATACCTGGCTGCAGCCAGAAAAGACGAATTATATAGGCTACTTAATACCCAGACTGATAACACTGGGGCAGGGGAATGGTCTAGTAGCAGTCAAGCTTCTGATCTTCAAGCTGTATTGTCCTTGGTTCTATCCTCCTTAGGTCGGATCAATGACAAACTTGATAGGATGTACTCAGGAAACCAGTTTAATTCCCCAGCGGCCCTGGATAATCCTGATTCAGCTATTCTCCCCAGATCCACAAATAGTACCAGCAAGCATTAAAATGACATCTTGTAAGGAAAAGATGTGAATTGGATTTCGCTTCTTATTGCCTCTCAAGATGTCCTGGAAAACAAAACATATGCATATGGGGACGTGTCTGTTGTGTTGAAATCCAGGGACCCCAGGCTGAATCGCAAACTGTCTATACCTGAATTTGTTCTGGCCTTTAGGATCTATAGGGATGTGGTGTGGGCAGTCTATCCAGCCAGGAGGGAAGAGTTTGATCTTTACCTCCACAAGCTGGTGGACTTAGGGCACTTGTACAGTGGCACATCTTTTTACGACTACCACCGTTCTTTCTCCGCAAAGGCCTCTGCATCACTTACCCAGTTCAATTACCAAGCTGACTGGAGTATGCTGGATACAGAACTCTTTTGTAGACACTTTGCGGGCCTAAAGACACCAGCTTGTGCGGTCTGTTCATCCACCTCACACACAGATAATTTATGCCCTAACACCCCTAAAGTGAGTGCTTTCTACCCCCTTATAAACCAGATTCCCACAGGGAGACCAGACAGGGTTCTTAAAGACAAGTTGGGATGGAATATAGTGTTCTTGGGAAAATCACAAGTCTGTAACAACTTCAACGCTGGCACTACATATCTGCTCCCAATGTTTCCGGGCTCACTCTAAGACGATGTGTCCTAATAAGTTGTACCCTAAGCCTTAGCTGTCGACACTATTAATGTACTGCTCCAGAAGGAAATAGACCAGGGTTTTTTTACAAGCCCCATTCGACTCTCCACCCTTTGCAGTAGGGAGAACTAACCCCACAGGTATGGTTACTGGTAAATCTTCCAATAAGCAAAGGTTGATCATCGACCTCTCTACCCCCCATGCTACGACTACCCCTAGTCTTAACTTGCTCATTCCATCAAAGGAATTTTCACTCCAATATGCGACTGTGAACAATGCCATCAATGCTATCCTGTCAGAAGGTGTAGGAGCGTGGCTTAGCAAGACGGACATAGTAAACGCATTCAAGCTCCTCCCTAGCCACCCTTCCCTGTGGCATCTACATGGCGTTAAGTGGCAAGGGTCATACTATTTTTTTCACACAACTCACTTTTGGTTTAAAGGGACACTCCAGGCACCCAGACCACTTCTGCCCATTGGAGTGGTCTGGGTGCCAACTCCCACCACCCTTAACTCTGCAAGTGTAATTATTGCAGTTTTTTATAAACTGCAATAATTACCTTGCAGGGTTAACTCCACTTCCGTGTCCATAGCACAAGAAACCTATGCTAGAGAGTCGCTGGACGTCCTCACGCTGTGTGAGGACCTCCAGCGTTGCTCAATTCCCAATAGGAAGGTATGGAGAGCGCATTAGATTTCGCATTAGATTTCCTCAGCCGACGGCCGGGATCAGTTTCGCCCACCGGCTGACGTAATCACTGGGAGGAGAGGCAAGCAGAAACCACCGCGAGGGACATCGACAGGGTCTCAGGTAAGTGACATGAAGGGGTTTTCACCTGCAGTGACAGGAAAATGGATTGTTTTACTCACACCGGAGAGTCCCTTTAAAGAGCAGTCCAAGGAGCTTTGATATGTTTGCAGAGACACTGTGTTGGATCCTGCTCAACATCTGGAGATGCCTCACCATAATCCATTACCTTGATGATTTTCTGACTGTTGAGAGTAACCTGCTTCCACCCAGTAGCCTCCAGGTTACAATACAATTGTTTAAACGCTTGAGTGTTCCTGTTTCACCAACGAAACCTGAAGATCCCGATACTGTTATCAATTTTCTGGGGGTAGTGCTGGACTCTGTTAATATGCAAGCCAGCCTTCCCACAGTTACGACTGAACACATCCTCTCAGCTATTGACCAGTACCTGGTGAAGGGTTCTTGCAATAGGAAGGAACTCCAATCACTGTTGGGTTCACTAAATTTTGCCATGAAAATTATACCACAAGGGCAGCATTTTGCCACTGCTGATTTACAAATGTGGAGGGAATTCTTGCTGAATTGGAATGGGAAAATCATATTCATTCCAGTGTTGACTGGCAAGTCTTTGTTGATCTGGACAGATGCTGCTGCCATATCTGGTTTTGCTGCAATTTTTGGCAACGACTGGATGTGGGGTAACTGGCCTGAGGAGATTAAAGAGATCCCGGAGTTCCCCAACACCTCAACTTTATTTGAGCTTTACCCGATTGTGGCGGCGTCAGTCAAATGGGGCACCTGCTGGTCGGGTAATAGAGTGAGATGCTTCTCTGACAACATGACAACTTGGCATATTGTTAACAAGGGACGTTCATCATCCCTGTCCATCATGCGATTCATGAGGAATTGGACATTGCAAGCAGCTAGGCACAGCTTTTTCTTGACATGCATACATATTCCTGGGGTCCTGAATATCGCAGCTGATCATTTATCCCGATCTTGATTTTAGGAGTTCCAGGCGGCACTACCAACAGCACCCTGATTCCTACCTCGGCACCACGGTGGCAGGACATGGATATGGACTAGTTAGTCTACTCACTCACGGGCATCACCTCTCACAACTTGGTCTTTCAGATAGTACAAGGAAACCATATAGCAGGACTTTTCATATTTTCAAAAGATGTTTGCTTGAATTCCACATAATCGACAAATTCTCTATGGAAACTTTGATTGCTTTAATTTCCTTTTGCCACCTTCACCTAAAGCTATCCTTCAACACCATTAAATTATATCTTACTGGTATTCAACACCACATCCTCACCATTTAGCCTAATAAACAACGCTTCCTTTCATCTTACCAAGTGAAAGCC